GCCTGGGTGCTGGCTGGAATGAGGATCCTAAACTGACTTTGTAGCCCAGGCGGGTTTTGAATTTACAGTGATCCTCCTGCCTCAGCCTCCAAAGTGCTGGAATTACAGGCATGTGCCACCACACCTGGCTTCCATTGTGATCCTTTGTCTAAGGAACAACTGGAAAACATTTATTCCCAGATTGTGGGTTGTCTCTTTACTCTTTTGATTCCTTTTTCCAATATTAATCTTCAGCATATACTGTCAGTTTTTCCAGCACAATGTATTAAAGAGGATATTTTTCAGGGCCAGGGAGATGGCTCAGTGGAATAAGCACTTGCCTGGCAAGTGCAGGAGCTTGAGTTCAATCCTCGGTTGCACCAAAAAAAAAAAAAAAAAGGCTATTTTTCTTCCAGTGAATGTGTTTGATACCTTTGTGAAAGACAAGATGGCTGAGTATATCTGGAGTTGTTTCTGCATCTTCTGTTCTGTTCCATTCATCATCAGGTCTGTATTTTTGCCAGTACCATGCTATTTTTATTACAGTAGCTTTGTAGTATAATTTCAAGTCAGGGATTGTAATGACTCCTGCCTTGCCTTTGTTTCTCATAATTGCCCTTGCAATTGGTCTCTTCTGGGTCCACATGAATTTTAGGATTCTTTTCTCTGATTTTGTGAGATACGCTATTGGAATTTTGATCAGAATTGCACTAAATCTGTATAACAGTTTTGGAAGTATGATCATTTTCACTATGTTGGTTCCTCCTACCCAAGAGCAGGGGACATTGTTCCATTTTTTGATATCATCTTTAATCTCCTTCTTCAGAGTACTGTAGTTTTCAATGTAGAATTCTTTCACATCATTTGTTATATTGATTCCTAGGTGTTTCGCTCTTTTGGATGCTATTAAAAAAGGTGTTTCCCTAATGTATCTCTCAGTGATAAATTTGTTGTTTGTGTTCATTAAAGCTACTGATCTTGTAGTGTTGATTTTATATCCAGCTACACTTCTGAATTTACTTCTTAAATCAAGAAGTTCTTTAGTGGTGTTTTTGGGGTCTTCTATAAAGAGTATCGTGTCATCTGTGAATAATGATAATTTAACTTCTTCCTTTCCTATTGTTATTTCTTTTATTTCTTTCCAGTGTCTAATTGCTTTGGCTAATGTTTCAGAACTATATCAAATAGTAGTGGTGATATTGGACATCCTTGTTTGTTCCTCATTGTAGATTGCAAACTTTCAGTGTTTGTCCAATTAGTACATTAGCTGTTGGTTTGTCACAGATGGATTTTTATCACGTTGCTCCAGCTAAGGTTTTGAGAACTATGTTGAACAAGAGTGAAGACATTTACTATTATATTTCCTATGATTTATAAGAACTAATATTGTATATTATACAAACAGTTGCTGTATTGTAGGGATTAGGGAAAAATAAAAAGAAAAATTTTGCATACATTTGGTATAGACACAATCAAATTCAAATATTTTCAAATGGTGGTTGGTTGAATCTGTGGCTGTGGAACCCATCATACAGAGAATAAACTATGCATATGGCTATGTGTATTTGTGTGTGTCTATGTATAAGATATTTCACTGTTGCACAGTTCCACTTACTTCTGAATTTGTCTCAAATGCTGTTCTTTTAGGTAGAACTACATGATACTGTTGTGTCTATAGGTCAAAAATGATGAAATATTTGTTTTATTTGGCTTATAGGAATATGCTGCTTATAAATACAACTGCAGGGCTGGCCAAATGCTCAGCAGATTAAAGTGCCTGCTTAGGCAGACACAGGGGCTGGGAGTTCGATCCCCAGGCCTGCCATGCTGGCCCTGCTCCTGGGGCATGCTGAGATGGCGATTAAGACTGGGTGTGGTGGCGTGTGCCTGTAATTCCAGCACTTGCGAGGCTGTAAACAGGAGGATTACTGTGAGTCTTATCTACGTGGTGAGACCCTGCACACCCTGTACACCCTGTCCTAAACACAAATAAATAAATAAAACTGCAACCAACAACTTAATCCTATTGGTGCACTTGTGTGATTAAGTTTTTAGTATTAGTTCCTAGAAATGGGATCACTAAGCTAAAGAACAGATGCATGTATGGTGCTGATGGGGTTTGCCCTCTCTTCCCATTGGTCTATAAGATACCCCCCCCCATTTCTCCTCACACTTGCCAAACACTATATAAGCCTAGGGTAAGCTGGTTTATTCTTTTTTTGGTAGAACTGGGGATTGAACTCAGGCCCTTTAGCTTGCCAGGCAAGCTGGCCTATTCTTTTTATTTCCATAATTTTATTGAGAAATGAATATCAATGAGACAGTTTTAAACCAAGCTGGTAGGACAGTTTCAATAATTAACACATTGCATGCATTCTCCCTAGTGGTTATTTGCTGTACGAGATGCAGACATGATATCCTATTTACAAACACTATTACAACAAATCCCTCTATTCATTAAGAGAATGTAACTATTTATGTATCCTAATCATTTTGAATACAAAGATACAAAATGGACATTCATCTGTATCCCCTTTTTTGTTTAGTTCCGTTATTTGAATATTATAGGTGTGTTAACTCAGCAAAATATTCTAAAAGAGTCCAGTAGTCCATAATAGTATTGGGTCTTCTGCTTCACTGGCAGTGTCAGAAATTGTTGACCTGGGTCCCTACAGCTCAACATAACAGCATGGCTTTACTTCTTATATTTCGTTTTTATACTTTCCTGCTGGATAGTTAAGACCAAGATAAAGCAGGACCTATGCAATGAGAGTTGTAGCTTTTGAGTCTGATAAGGTCAGTGAAATCCCCTCAGGATTTATGCTGAGATCCTGTACCTCAGATTGTAGATCTTTTGTCAGTGTCAGCCATATGGATGAGTCATGGCCATTGCTTGGCCAATGTGCTCTATGTGAAAGCCTGAGAGAATGTTTTCTCTCCATGTGACTCTCCTTAGGCACACTCTACATCATTGATCACTTTCCTCTTTGGCCCCATAATCTCCTTGA